ACACTCACAAAAGCTTATCTTCTGATGGACGTACCATCTTCTTAAATTAGCTTAAGATGTTTCAGCTACCAAAATAAATGAAAGAGAAATTTAAGTGACACAAACAGCTAAAGGAAATTTGTCAAAAAGGAGGAAACTTTTGATTACTGACGTAAGAAGACAACCTAAAATTTTCCCTGAAAGAGCAGACAAATGAACTTGGTGCTTTTGTCCATGTAGAAATGGCTTTCCAAGAAATGAAGCAAAAAAAGGCTAAGTTTCAAAGTTTCCTCAATTTCTTTTCTTTCTTTGTTTCTTCCCTCATGTTTATCGGCAACCAAAAGAAATTCAGAAACAACTAAAAGCACCAACTGATTTCCCTTCATGTTCATAAATTGCCTTAAAAAACCAAATACCAAAAGAATCTACTTCCAAATTTTCTAGGAATCAAGAAATGCATACCATCAATCTACCAGTCACATGGCCATAGATATTTCCTTGCCGGACTCTCCGATGAGGCCAGGGGAGGAGCACAAGCATATTCAACGCCCAGATGAATGTCGTAACCATCATTACAACAAAACAGGTGACGATCCTCACACAAGATATCAGTGTCGATATCCATCCATCATCATCAACATAAACATCTTTCAGAGGCCTCTGCACTGCTACTTCCTTCCCTGAATTTTTCCAGGTTTCGCTCACATTTGGGACAGAATTTGTATGGAGGAAGCTCTCTAATCTTCTATTTCTTAGAAAAGAACCAGCTCCAGTATTCTTCATTAGTTGCTGGTAAAAATCTGGCAGGCATGATTAAAGCCAACGTGTCAAAAAGAGATTAACATGAAGAAAACAAAAATTGAACAACTTGTAAGAGAAAAGATCTGGGGAAAAGCTTCGATTTAATTAATAATCCCAGAAACTAACTACAGATTTAGAGAATCAATGAAATTCTTCAAATTTTAGATTCCCCTCCTTTCCTTTAGTTTCTCAGTAACCAAACAAGGGGAATCGCAGCTAAGTCATAGTCAAACAGCAAAGCAGAAGCCGAAAAATGCCTAGGTGAACTGTGAAGCCACACTGAAACTGGTAAAAAAGAGAAAAGATCAAAACCTGAGATAAAAAAGAAAAAAAAAAAAAACCAATAATTTTTCGTTTGGTTGCAGAGAAACCGTATAACTTTATACAACCAAAATAGAAAAACAAAAATAATCTCAAAATTTTGCTGAGTTCTCAGAAAACAAATAAAAGGAAGCACCTTCAATCCAAGCAAGCCAAACACAGGAATATCTAGATAGAATTGAAAAGAAACGAGCCTTTTTTTTCTTTTTTTTTTTTTTGTGTACTTTTCTCAGCAACCAAACAAAAACCCAGAGAATATTTTCTTCACGTTCGTCGACTCTTGAAAAGCACTCACCAAACATTCCTCACTAGATACCATCATGACTACCTTTTACCTTGTATAGTTGGATGTACCTCTGCAATTTTCTCTGGAAACTGACGCAGAGAAAGATGGAGAAATGGGGATTGACCCAGGAAGCCGTCTAAATAATATATGACACGAGCTTAGTAGACTTTGGAATCAGGGGAAGCTACAAAGGTGAAGACTTTTTGGAGCAAAACAAAAACATAGGGAGAAAATGTGGCGGTAAGGGGATTGAGAAATGTGAAATTGTAATAAATCCAGTTTGGAATTAAATTTCATTTATTAAATTTGAAACTTTTGTGGCCATTATTTTCTGTGAAGATTGGATTTTTGGCGTAAAGTTCATGTCTGTCATTACCTTTTTTATTTATGGAAAAGGGGGGCATATTCCAAGCAAATACTATAATTGTACCCTTGACTCGCCCACAAATTAATTTCACAACGGAATTATACTGAATCTACATCAATTTATTTTAAATAAAAATAAAAAGAGTAAAGGCCGTGATTATTGATTAATAGTCCCAGTGTGGAGGTGTTATCTCAAATTTTCAACAGAAAGGAGTGGCCATAGCTGCCCAATCCCTAGTAGCATGCAAAGCAGAACCGCGAGGAAAAGTTTTTTAGGAGGGCCGATAAAATATGGTGCTATAGCTAGGCCCAATGTTATAAAAAAATTCTTTAAGCCCAGATCTATCTCTCTTCCTCTTCTCTTTTTTTTTTTTTAAGTAAATATCTATCTCTCCCCTTTACTCCAATGAAAATTTCATTCCTCGTTGTTGGTCCCGTCCCGGTCCAGAGTCCAATAAAACAAAACAAACTCAAGTGGTCTTACGTGAACCTAGCAGTGGACTAGACCTTCGGACCCTAAATTTTGGAGCCTCGAATATGAGTGTATTTGCCAACCACGTTCATAGTCAGGGGGAAGGTTGAGTAGTGTGGCACATAGCTCCTGTTTTTGAATTTGATTATTAACATTAATTTTATATTTTTTAATATGTAAATTATAATGTAATTGCTTTGTTAAAACTATATATACGAGTATATTTGATAGAAATTAGTATATATCAGTTTTGATTTAATAAAATAAAAAAAAGTTTTATTCTATATTTAAAAATCAAA